AAAAAAAAAAAAAAAACAAAAAGATAAAAACCCTTAACTATTTCAAATAGTGCGAACCAGAACCTCGAGATATGCAATGAATTGCAAGACTCCAATAACTTACGATATTCCAAAAACGATATTCGGTTAATCCCATTTAACGAAGTAGTCGATATGATATGTGCTAAATGCATATAAACACACACACACACACACAAACAGAGACACACACACATACACAATATCTATGCTATGAATATATATTGATATTGATATATATATATAAAGCGCATCAATTACTTACGTACAGCTGCAATGCAAATGGATCTGCGATCCAGCGATTTTTTAGCAGYATGTCAAACTTAAACTAGAAGAAGCAGAAACAACAAGAGAAATGCAAACAACAAAATTAAGCAAATTTTATGAATATGTGTATTTAAGTTCGATCTGTTTTCCAAGTGCAATAATTAATTCAATTTACATTGTATAATTTATACACATGCATATGTTTTTATTAATTCCTAAGCATTGTTTTTTTAGTACTTTTTTTTTATATGTGTGTTTTATATATATATATAAATTTTTTTTCATTTTTATTTTTGTTAAACATTGTAYAACTAAAGTCATTTATTTTATGTAATTTACCGAATTGTATTCTAATGCAGCAAACGCGCTTCCATTGATTTGCACTTCATGACAAGACCATATGGAATATACATCTACTTATATAGTTCTAGTTAAATTTAAACTGAGTGTCACAAATATACAATCAGTATACATACATATAGGCATAGACATTTATTAAGATGTTGTGAAAATTGTATTTAACTCTCCATCTCTCTTTCTCCCTATCTCTTACTCCCTCTCGGTTAAACTCAAGCTCTATTCAGTTAATGTCACAAAATTTGTTTACAATTGAAGGTGCCAAACTAGAACATTTCCCAAATCAAAGCAAAAGAGTCTTTAAGCTGTTGCTCGATAGAGCTCAAATTCCAATAGATCATCTACAGTTCCTTTTTCAGTATTAACATTCTCTACTTAAATGCCATTTGTATTTTCAGAGCGCACATTCCTTTACAGATACTGCTCTCTTTTCTCTCTCTCTCTCTCTTTCTCTTTCTCTCTCTCTCTCTCTCTCTCTCTCTCTCTCTCTCTCTCTCTACAATTCCAAATTTATAATTGAATTGCACAACATGTTAGTAAATGGTCTATTGAGTATGTATGTTCAAGTAAATCTCGATATAAACTTAACGTATTAGTTAATTGCGCACAATAGATCTAAACATATATATTCAATAACTATCGTACATTCAATTGATACGTGTATGATCTGCAAGTGTACGTAATATATCTGTTATAACTAAGTTTGGCTTTTGCTTCTACTTTTACTTTTATGTTTATCTTAGCTTCAACTCAAACTGTTTTTGACACAACAAGATTTTACATCAAGTTAAGCTCACATAGAAAAGCAAAAGAAAATTAAACAAAATGCATAAATAAAGGACAAACATATCTGTAAAACACATATATATA